CAAAATATTCTGTTTGTGGTGCTGGTTGCACAAGTGTATTTGCTTTTGTGAGTTGGAGTCTCGCTCTGTTGCTTAGTCTGAAGTGCAGTGGCATGCTCACAGCCACCACAGCCTCAACCTGCTGGGCTCAGGCAATCCTTCCTCCTCAGCCTTCCACATAGCTGGAACTACTGGCACGCACCACGTCTGGCTAATTTTATTGTAGAGATGAGGTCTCGCCAAGTTGCCCAGGCTGGTCTCGAACCCGTGGGCTCTGGCAATCCTTCTCACACACAGGAAGTACATACAGCAGGCTGACATCACTTGTGACTCAAATGTTACTGTCATCCGAATGACTTTACAGCCACCTAAGTTTCAAATATAAGTGGAGTTTTGACTTGTAATTAGATGCTGAATTCATTAAGTAAGATTAATTTAAAAAAATCCAGTCTGCAGCAAAAGCTAGTTTCTGAAACCACTGTGTTTTATAATGGTTGAGAAGTTACTCTTATTAAGAATTTTTTCATCTCGGTTCTGAACTCAGAAAGTCTCAAAAAACAAAACTTTATTAAGCCATTAACCTGCTGCCTTGTAGGGCAAATTGGGATAGTCATTTACTTCTGCAAAAATCCATGGGGGCAGGCTGGGTGCGGTGACTCATGCCTATAATTCCAGCACTTTGGGAGGCAGAGGTGAGAAGACTGCCTGAGCTCAGGGGTTTGAGACCAGCCTGGGCAACTTAACGAGACCCTGTCTCTACAATAAATTTAAAAATCAGCCGGGCGTGGTGGTACATGCCTGTAGTTCCAGCTACTCGGGAGGCTGAGGCGGAAGGATCGCCTGAGCCCAGCAGGTCGAGGCTGTGGTGGCTGTGATCATGCCACTGCACTCCAGCCTGGGTGACAGTGAGACTATGACTCAAAAAAAAAAAAAAAAAAAAATACACGGTGGTGACGATGCTAAATCCATGAGAAAAGAAGTGCCCTGGTGACACTACTGGCTCAATATCACATGTTTACTATTTTCTGAAAAGCATCCGCTGGTAAATAACTTTTAAACACCTTAAATTTTCACAAACTCAAAATTTGACTAAATTCTTTCTTGCTCCACACATATTTTTACCACTGTCAGTTGTGGCACATCTGGGCAAATTCCACTCCAGGCTGTACCAAACTTTTCAATTTTGAAAGTATTTTTGCTCAGTCATCAAAAAGAATGAAATAATGTCTTTTGCAGCAACTTGGATGGAACTGGAGAACATCATTCTGAAGGAACTCAGGAACAGAAAACTGAACGCTGCATGTTCTAAGTGGAAGCTAAGCCAAGGAACGTAAAGGCACAGAGAATGGCACAGTGGACACTGCGGACTCAGAAGGGACGAACGGAGGGAAAATCACCTACAGGGTACAATGTGCACAGGTAGGGGTGGCAGGAACACTTAAAGCCCAGACCTCACCACTATACGATGCATCCATGTAACCAGACATGATTTACACCCCTAAAGCTCTTGAAATAAGGAAAAATAAAATATTTCTGCTTACAGTTGCTCCACACAAACCATGCATACAGGCTATTTCTTCATTCACTTCCAGGGTGACTCTTCCTGGGACTTAGGAGGTTCCCAAAATGTGTTACAACCAGAAAGATTCTGGGCAGACTGGATAAACTGGTCACCCCAGCACTTCAAACTCGGCATCAAATCCTGGAATAGTCAACCGACCTATAGTACTGGAAATATTTATTAACCATCAAGGGAAACATTCAAAATCAGCTGTCTTGTTCTAAAACTGACTAGTGATATGTTGCTTCCTTAAGTAGTCAAGCGACTCTTCTCACTGAAAGGCTGACAGTCTTAAAAGTTCATTTTCTGTGGCCACATTTCTTCAGCTGCTGCAATCAAACACAACTATGTGGTCATTGGTAAATGACTTTCCTTGCTTGGCTAACAAATAAGCCACTTGGAAACCTTAGTTACAGCTTCCTTTTCTTTCTTTTTTGAGTTGGGATCTCACTTTGTTACCAAAGCTGGAGTGCAGGGGAACGATCAGGACTCACCACAGCCTTGACCTGGGCCTGCTGGGATTCTCCAACCCCAGCCTCTCAAGTAGCTAGGACTCTAGGCGAGCACCATCATGCCCAGCTCATTTTTTTGAGTTGGAGTCTCACTCTTGTCACCCAGGCCGGAGGCCAGTGGCACACTCATGGCCACTGCGGCCTCAACACGCTGAGCTCAGGCGATCCTTCTGCCTCAGCCTTCCGAGTCGATGGAACTACAGACGCACACCACCATGCCCGGCTAGTTTTTGTGATTTATTGTAGAGATGAGGTCTCATCAAGTTGTCTAGGCTGGTCTCGAACCCCCGAGCTCAGGCAATCCTCTCGCCTCGGCCTCCCAAAATGCTGGGATTACAGGTTGAGCCACCACATCTGGCCCCAGCCAAGTTTTTTGTAGACAGGGTCTCATTGTTGCCCAGGCGGGTCTTGAACTCCTGGGCTCAAGCTGGTCTTAAATCCCTTCCCAAGTGCTTGGATTATAGGCATAAACCACTGTGCCTAGTTCCCCTTCTTTTAATTTTTGTAAAGAAATGGGGTGCTGAGATAGTCCATGTATTTATTCATCCCTTTATTTGAGCAGGAGTCTCTCTGTTGCCCAGGCTGGAGTGCAGTGGCACGCTCATAGCCACGGCAGCCTTCCAAGGAGCTGAAACTAAAGGCACATGCCTTTAGTTTTTTTATTCATTGTAGAGACACCATAGCCTCACCAAGTTGCCCAGGCTGGTCTTGAACCCCTGGGCTCAGGCAATCCTCTCACCTCTGCCTCCCAAAGTGCTGGGATTACAGGCGTGAACCACTGCACTCAGTCATATTTTTTGACAGAGACACCAACTCAAAACAAAAAGAGGTAAAATGAACACCACCATGTCACTCAAAATGCGTTACATGGTTGGGCACAGTGGTTCACGTCTATAATCGCAGCACTTTAGGAGGTCAAGGTGAGAGGATTACCTGCTCTACCAGTTTGGGCAACTTCGCGAGACTTCCATTTCTACAATAAATACATTAAAAAATTAGCTGGGCATGGTGGCTACTTGGAAGGCTGAGGCGGAAGGACTGCCTGAGCCCAACAGGTCCAGGGTGTGGTGGCTGTTATTGTGCCACTGCCCTCCAGACTGGGTGAGGCTCTGACTCAAAAAAAAAAAAAAGCGTTACAAGTGCATCACTGCAGCTTATAGTGTACCCAGCAGCAGTGCTAAGGAGAGGGTCACGTATATCTGGTCAGTCACAACTAAAGTTTTGTAGTACAAAAGGAGCCATAGACAGTATGTAAATACAGGAGTGACCACATTCCAGTAAACCTTTATGGACACTGTAATCTGAATTCTCTATCATTTTCACATGCTATAAACATTTTTCCCCCATCCACTTGAAAAGTAAAAGAACAGGCAGCAGATCAGACTTGACCTGCAGGCTAGTCTGCCACAAGGCCCACAGGGTGACCCATGTAGTTGGCTTTGGGCCATGTGCTTTGTTTTTCTATCTACAGAAAGTGGAAAAATAATACGCAACACTCCTGGGCTAAAAACAACCGCATTCTGCAACGTTGTCACTGCACGGAGGACAGCAGCCCTAAGCTGTCTAACTTGCCAGTCTTTAATAGCCTTTGCTGTACTGAAGTGAGATCCTGGAATTCGTATTAGCATAGCCTAACCTAATTTTTCAAGTCTTATACCATACATAAGCCAGGAATACAATCCTGTCAGTGATCAGCTGCCTTGGCTATGGCCACAGTCTTCCAAACATCAGCAACGGAAAAGCCCATTTTGAATTTGCCAACTGTATATTTTAGAGACAGGGACTCATATTGCCCAGGCTGGAATGCAGTGGTACCGTCGTAAGTCAATGTAGCCTTGAACTCCTGGACTCACCTGACCCGATCCTCCCACCTCAGACTCCCAAAATGTTGGGATTACAGTGTAAGCCACTGTGCCCAGCCTCCGAACTTGTCAACTTTATTCATTTGCCATACTTCCCACTCAAAGACCATTTCTGTGGCATTTATTCACGACACTCCACCTTATGGCCAACATGCAGCCTGTGAAATGCCTGGCTCCAACTGAAATTGGTCTGCGAACTAGTTTTCCTTTATAGCTCTTTGTCTGAATATATGTGAATAGCAACACAAATTTAAAAATTAGGAAAGGGACTAATACCCTTATTCCGCAGCATCGGTAGATGGCTCAAAAAGGCAGGCAACTGTACAAGGTCACACTGAGCAACTACTGTGTGTCAGGAACTATTTTAGAGGCATGATCTGCTCTTTGCATAAACCTGAAATCCACCATTTTGCTTTGGTACACCTCGCCCAATATCCTATCAAAGACTCCACAGGCTGGGCGTGGTGGATCACACCCATAATCCCACCATTTTGTGAGGATGAGGCAGGAAGACTGCTTGAGCCCAGGAGCTTAAGACCAGCTGAGGCAACAGTGGTTCGCATTTCTACAAAAAAAAAAAAACAACAAAAAAAATACCAAAACTAGCCAGGTATGGTGGCACATATTGTAGTACCAGCTACTTGGGAGGCTGAAGCAGAAGTTATCACCTGTGCCCAGGAGATCAAGGTAGCAGTGAGCTGTGAACCTGTCACTGCACTCTGGCCTGGGCAACAGAGACCCGGACTTGAAATTTACCATATATTCCCCAAGGCTCCAAAGTCCTATTTGCATACAAATATACTGTAGAAAAGTTTATTTGCTGGTCACTGTTTGAATCTTGGAATCGAATTCCCCACTGATTATACTGATATAAAATGGTAGTTATTAATCTGTGCTAGCTCGCCAAAACTAACTTGAGTCACTTTTGAATCTCTCTTAACACGTGAACAGATAAGTGAACTTGTACTAACACCGGAGCAGCTTTCTCGTTCCCACAAAATTTTCTTCCCATTTCAACCATCTGATGTTGAAATCTAAAGTACCCTTGTGTGTTAAATGTGTGTGACAAACATGGAGATAGTCAAGTAAGATTGGTGGCCTTTATTTGATACTGACAAAAAAGGCTGCAATTTAGTACTTAAACCTGCAGCTAACGGTAACCTTTCTCTCCAGGCAAATAACTAGGGAGAGCTACGAAATCTGAAAAAAAAAAAGAGACCAAGAGAAAGAGGCAGAAGAGGTCCAGCTGGCTGGTATGCACCCCTGCATTGCAGCCAAGGGCAGGCAAGCCATTATACAGACTGTTCTCCTTATTTACCTGATCAAGCAGTATGTTTTTCCTCTGAAAATCTTGTTTAGGATTGCCATTTCATTATACTGAATAACACATAGTCAACCCTCATTAAAAAACCACATTATTTTCAGAAGAAATATTGTACATGAATGATGCAGTCAGAATCACAGACTGCTCTTTCTTTGTCTTTTTTTCTGTGAACGTTCAGGTGTTTGAGTCTCTTGCCTTTCTTCTTTTACATCAGATACGGGTTGTTTGAAAACGATTTCATTATCTTTGTCATCATCACTCATTTCTGTCACTTCAGATTTTCGTCTCTCCAAAAACGTTGGTGTACAAACTGGTGTGGGGCCCTATTTTCAACAAGTAAAAGAATATAATACATAAATGTAGAACATTATTATGATTTTACTCTAAAATAGCATCTCTTCTCTATTTTTACAAGTTGTGCTATGTTATTTTAGGCCTGTATCTATCCTTCAGTGATATAGCTACAAATAATAAAGACCTTAGGTGCTTATAAAACTTAGTATGGAAATTCACAATTAATTGCAATAGACTATGTCCCATTATAAGGTTTCAAGTGGAAAATAGCTAAATCATCAGTAAGTAACTGTCACAAGTAACTGTCACAAGATTCAATTAGAAACCTTAAAATGACAGTCACATTTCATCCTCCAAATTATTTCTATAGTATCAGTATTCAGAATATTGAAGACGATTTTACCTGGCTATCCACTGTCTCCTCAGAAGTATTAGGAGTGCCCGACACCTTTTTGTTCTTCTTACGTGACCCCTTCAAATAAATTTTAACAATATCTATCAGTTACAGTAGTCTCCAACATATTTTCCTACTTATCTTTCTCTGATATGATCTGGGATGCGAAGTGAAAAATAAAATTTTACCGTGCTCTTTGAAGACTTCTTTGTTCCTGCTTTCTGTAAAATCTGCAATACAGAAGGCATGAATTGGTGGCCGTGCACCCTTCCTTTCTGAACTCTCCACGAGCCCCTCACACACCGTGCTGGCACGTCATCTCTACATGACAGACCCGACCCGCAAGCGCAGCGCGCAGCCTCACGTAAGGGGCGCAAGAGAAAAGCGGCTGGGCTAGGGGACTGGCAGAGGGGCAGAGGCTGAAGGGAAGGCTGAAACCCGAAGCTGGCCGGGCCAAGGCACGCTGGCCGCAGGAGGGCCACGCCATCGGGTGAGGAAGGTGACCGGCTGGCCCTGGAGGCCTGTCCTGGCTGTGTCCAGGAGGGTGGCCACGAAGCCACCTGTTTCCCCTCCAAGTCCCAGCAGGGTACAGGAAAAGCAGGGCTCGCAAGCCTGTTTTCAAGCTTCAGGGACTCAGCTCCCAACTGGCTCAGAGAGCAGCAGACGCCCTGATGTTAACGTTCCAGTACGACTAAGGAAGTTATTCGGGATTTGAGCAGAAAATTCACAACCAGGAACTGGGCGGAGACAATTCGCTCATCTCACTCCTGGGCAAGGCCAGAGGACCCAATAAACTTGGGAAGAGATGCCATTTTTGACCGAAGCGCTAGCTTTTTGGAAGTAGGCTGACAGGGTCCATGAAGAAGGCAAACGGTCTCCAGACCGAGGCAAGAAAAGGAAGCCCTCCTCATTCTCGCTTCCCTACAAGCAAGGAGAGCCCGAGGGACATCTGCACGGACTCGTCTTCACCTGAGTTGTCTCACTGGCTCCTTCTGATACACTTTAGGAATACCTCCAGTTTAAAAGGACACAAAACAAAATTTTAACTGGAATGGCATCAAAAGGAGGGCCAATTCACCGTCTTGATATTTACTGACAGCACACAGTAAAGCAAAGATTTCATTCTGGTAAGGCCACCTTTCTTTAAATGACAATCGAAGAGCACTATGACTGTAGGTTCAAGGGTAGTTTTGCTGCCCTAACTTAAAAACAGACCACGAAAGTTATGCAAATCAAGCAATCCCTTTAAAATAAGTTTCCTCTTCCATATTATGGAAATAACAGAATCTGTTCTCACAAGACTTTAGGAAATATCTACTACACGATGTCTCAAAAACTTAATCAAAACCTAGTGTATGTGATAAGCACTGGGCTAGATACTTTATAATCATAATGATGCAGATACACCTTACTAGGAGATATCAAGATAAACTACAAACAAAAATTCCGAAGGGAATACTTACCAACGAAGGAAAATCATAGTCAATTCCTTTTTCAGCTAATTTCTTCCTGAGTAATTTTTCTTTCTTTTTAAATCGCTCTTCCATCCGCAGATTTTGTTTAAGTGTCCGTTTCCGATTATATCGTGCCACTGCTGGACATGATGGCTGTTTAAATGAAGTATTCCACCCTGCAAAAAGTCCTGGATGTATTTTTTCAGGTGGCATTAGTTGACCTATTTTGCAAAAGGAAAAGATAAAAAGCTTTCAACCAAATGGTAGGGAAGGGATTTTTTTTTTTTTTTTTTTTTGAGTGAGTTGAGTCTCACCCTGTTGCCCAGGGTGGAGTGCAGAGTCAACCTGCTGAGTTCTGGCAATCCTTCCGCCTGAGCTACCACGCCTGGCTAATATTTTATTTTACTGTAGTACGAGGCCTTGCCAAGTTGCCCGAGCTGGTCTTGAGTCCACAGACTCATGCGATCCACTCACCTCGGCTTCCCAAAGTGCTGGGATTACAGGCTGAGCCACTGAGCCCGGCCAGGGAAGGGATTTTAACGTTAGCTTTAGAGTGACAGATGTACGAGCCGATTCTGCCCAAATGGAGCTAGCTAATACTTTAAGGCAGAAGCAACAAACTCTAACTCTATATCTCAGAACGCTTTCTGCTGTTTCCCGTAGCACAGGTCTAGCATATGTGGCTGACTTCTTGTAGGTCACCTACCCAGCTCATTTTCTCTTGAAGAGAGTCATGTATGTGTGTATTTAGGGTCACTCTGTCATCCCTGTACAAACATGGCTCACCGCAGCCTTGACCGCTTTTAAGCCACCTACCCAGCCCATTTCCTCTTGACGAGAGTCATTCATTTACAATCATTCTGCCACCCAGATCTGCACGCAGTGGATAAACATGGTTCACTGCAGTGACCTCCTAGGCTAACGTGATCCTTCCACCTCAGCCTCCTGAGTAGGTGGGACCACAGGCATGTGCCACCATGCCCAGCTAACTAAAAAAAATATTTTTTGTAAAGATGAGGTCTCAGCCAGGCTTGGTGGCTCAGTCTGTAATCCCAGCACTTTAGGAGGCCGAGGCGAGTGGACTGCCTGAGCCCCACGGGTTCGAGACCCACCCAAGTAACTTGGAGAGGCTCTACAATAAATCAAAAATTAGCCGGGCGCGGTAGCGTGTGTCAGCAGTTCCGGCTACTTGGAAGGCTGAAGCAGAAGAATCACTGGAGCCCGGCAGGTCAAGGCTGCGGTGGCCAGGAGCGTGCCACTGCACTCCAGTCTGGATGACAGAGTGAGACTCCAATAAAAAAAAAAAATGAGGTCTTACTATGTTGCCTAAGCTGGTCTCCATCTCCCGGACTCAAGCAATCCTCTTGCCTTGACCTCCCAAAGTGCTGGGATCACAGGTGCTAGCCACCATCTGGTCCACAGCCATTCTTTTAGTGTAAGAATGAACCCATGACTTCAACCAGGACACTTGGATTCTCTCTCACAGCAATGGGAACTGGAATAGAGATGCTATGGGGGCAGCATTGTCAGCTGTCTGATACCTGTGAACTTGAGTTCCTGGAGAGGCAACACGCCACCAGGGGGACAGGCAGGCCAGAAACTTAATTCCGCCTCCCGAGGGCAGTGAGCTCCTCTGGCAGTGCAAAATTGGAGGCTGCATGGGCTCCTCTCTGCAGGATGGACTTCTGGTCTGGTTCCACCACGCCTGTGGCTTTTCTCAGGTGGAAAAGTTGCGGCCAATGCCTTCTAAACTGATTGTGAGACCTGACTCCTGACCTCTGATGCTAGTCCATCTGGAGTCCACTAATGAGTCCCTCATCGCCCTCAGGAGAAACTCCGAGCTCCCTGACCTAGAGGCCTCTAGTCTGGCAACTTGCTGTTTCCTCCCCAAAGTAAGAACGGGCTCAATCTTCATGGCCATCCCTTCTGCTGGCTCGCTCCTATTTACTCTTCGGGTTTCCATTTAAACGCCTTCCTCAGAGAGGCCTTCCACAGCCCATTCAGGCTCTGCTCTTCCTACATATCCCCACGTCAACGTGTCCAATTTCGACTTCATGCACAAATAGCTTTCACACTGAAGATTGCAAAATCTCAATGAGAATCTGCCTGGAAGACACACTTAAATCCTTGCAGCGCTCCATGAGAGAATCATCCCAGAGATGGGGGGGCATGTCCAAACAGCTAATAAGCAAGCTGTCCTTCCCACAAGGCACCCACCAGCAGGAGGCATCCATGCAACCTACAGGAAGACAAGAGCACTCACACTGCAAGAGTCTTTCACCAAAAAGGTAGTTGTTCATTGTCTCAGCAACTATCTTGGCAACATCTTCAGACTCAAACTCCACAAAGGCATAGCCTTTGCTCTGTCCAGTCTGTAATGGAAAATAAGCCACAGAAAGTAGAACAATTAAACTTCTAACGTGTCATCGAATTCCTAAAATGACATTTATTTAAATAAAGTACATTAGCCTCTTATCAAGTAACATTGGCACTTACATAATAATTCCAACTCCAACCAGCACATTCTGTGGACTGTTATGGGGAAAAGCAAGGATCCAAAGTAGAACATGCAGCTGATCTGGTATTCCTGGCATTTTGGCAACACGATAAACACATGATTCCTGTGGCGGGAACGTACCACCACCACCCCATGCTCTAACAAACGTCTTCAGCTTACAAACTATCACATGGCTGAACAGAGTGAGAGTCAGGAGCCTCATTTCTAGCACCACTGCTGTCAATCACGAGCAACTAGGATACTTCCACCACTGAGTTTATCTAGTTGTCTTCAACAGGGGGGACTTTGGTAAAAATTAAAATGCCTGAAATTCTTTTTGTCTTTTGAGACAGGGTCTCACTCTGTTGTCCGGGCTGCAGTACACTGGCATGGTCATGGTTGACTGGAGTCTCAAACTCCTGAGTTAAGCGTGATCTTCCCGCCTCAGGCTCCTGAGTAGCTGGGACTACTAGTGTGTGCCACCACACCTGTCCCATTTTTAAAACTTTCGGGGGGTAGAGACGAGGTTTCACTATGTTGCCCAATGTGGTAACTGCTGGGCTCAAGCAGTCCTTCCATTCAGCATCCCAAAGTGCAGGGATGACAGGCACGAGCCACTGAGCCTAGTTTGAAAATCTATTTATAATCTGAACTCTCAAAAGGGAGAGGAAAGATGGCAGAGCGGAAGACAGAGACATTCAAGACCAGTACCACTGTGTACGAATACAAAACTTTTGAAAAGTGATTTAAAAACACGTATGTCACTAAAAAACAAAAAAAATCCTTTACCCAATAATCTCGGAAAGTTGGAAATGCCAAGCAAATAGTCAAAATTAAAGTGGAGTGGGCTTTACTAATCAACAAGGCTGGAAATAGTCAGTCTTAATGTACTTCCTCAATGAGGTGTTTAAATAAGTGGCCTGAACTCTTCAAAAAACAAATTAGGCAAAAAAGGGCAAAAAGACTGTTCTAGATAGGCTGAAAAGCTTTAATAACCAAATGTGATGCACAGACTGGAATGCAGAACGCGCAGAGAAAAAAAATAGCTAAAGACGCTTTTTGGGACGACTGGCAATATGTCAAGATAGGACACTGCACGCTGTTGTGCTGTGCTGTGGTCATGCAGAATGTCCTTAAGAGCTCGATAATGTATTTAAAGTATGATGATTGCTTTTTTCCAAAGAGTTTAGCAAAACAAAAAAGAACATGTACTTATGTAGGAAGAAATGAAGCCAACACATGAGGATGTCAGTGGAGTCCATGTGAGGAGTTTGGGGCTGCTTGTCACACTCTACTTTTCATTTTATTTTTTTAGTTGGAGTCTCACTGTTGCCCAGGCTGGAGTGCAGCGGCCCACTCGTGGTCACCGCAGCCTCAACCTACTGGGCTCAGGTGATCCTCCTGCCTCAGCCTTCCAAGTAGCTGGAAGCACAGGTGTGTGCCACCACACTTGGCTAATTTTTTGATTTACTGTGGATATGAGGTCTCGCCAAGTTGTCCAGGTTGGTCTTGAACCCCCGAGCTCAGGCAATCCTCTTGCCTTTGCCTCCCAAAGTGCTGGGATTACAGGTGTGAGCCACCATGCCTGGCAACACTCTATTTCTTTGTAGACCTGAACCTGAAAGGCAGAGGAATAGTGGCTACAGTGCAACGTGAAACACACACAACAGTGCCACAAAAGGCATGATGAGGCAGTTCACAGAAGGAATTCTAACAGCCAGTAAGTATGACGATACTGAACCTTACCAAGAACAAGGGAGATACAAAACCCACAACCATTTTAGACTCAAGAACTCTGAGGGTCTGCTGCAAAGCAGCATTTTCTTTCTTTTTTCTTGGAGATGGAGTCTCACTCTGTCACCCAGGCTGGAGAGCAGTCCCATGCTCACAGTTACAGCAACTTCAACCTGCTGGGCACAGGTGATCCTTCTGCCTCAGTCTTCCAAGTAGCTGGAACCACAGGCATGTGCCACTATGCCTGGCTAATTTTTTGATTTACTGTAGAGACGAGGTCACCAAGTTGCCCAGGGTCTCGAATCCCTGAGCCCAGGGATCCTCTCACTTCCACCTCCCAAAGTGCTGGGATTACAGGCATGAGCCACTGCTCCTGGCTGAAGCAGCACCTTCAAACTCAGAGTCTGACCTTTTAGGGGTAATAAAACCAATTTAGGTCAGAAAAGTATTTTTTTAACCTGAAAAGAATGTAATAGAAAATGAGTGAATCACAGAAAACAAGGCTTAAGTATGGTCTCATTTGACTTTTTAGTTATGTGCTTTTAGTTTACTTTTTAGTTAATGCATGTGCTGCTTTGTGCTGTTAAAACTTTCTTATGGTGGCCAAAGGTCTGCAAAATAGTATTCTAGAAAAATCTGCTCACACTTGTACAAAGAATGTTCCTAGCAGCTTCACCTAAAAAGTGAAAAATTGTGAAAAATCTAACGTTCAATGGTTATTCAAGCAAAGAAACACAGTAGTGATAACAAAGGAACTAGAGGAACATGAATAAAGCTCCAACAGATTGTTGAATTAAAAAATTAAGTTGCAGAATGATAGAAATACTATAATTTAGTTTTAAAACCAATAATACCGCATTATATGTACATTAACATAATACTACAGAAATGTGCAGTAAAGATTGAAAACCACTGATTTTGTCAACAATAGTTCCCTGGGCGACTGGGAAGGGCTCAAAAGGGAACTAAACTCCACCTATAATCTCTTCCTTAAACAAGATCTGAAGCAAGTATGATACCATGTTGATGCTGACAAAGCTAAACAGTGGATACAGGGAAGCCCTAAATTATTCTCTAGCACAGGGGTCCCAGTATCTGGGCCATGGACCAGTACCAATCTGTGGCTTGTTAGGAACCAGGCCATATAGCAGAAGGTGAGCAGCGGGCAAGTGTCTCCTGTCAGATCAGCGGTGGCATCAGATTCTCATAGGAGCGCAAACCCTACAGTGAACTGCACATGAGAGCGATCTAGGTTGTGCACTCCTTGTGAGAATGCAATGGCTGATGATCCCCACTCCTTCCTCTGGCCCCCCCGACCTCCATCCATGGAAAAACTGTCTTCCATGGAACTGGTCCCTGATGCCAAAAAGGTTGGGGACCACTGTTCCAGGAGACTTCAGGATGTCTGAAATATCTACCTCATCCACAAAAGGAGCAACTGTTACAAGTAGAAAATGGGAGCCGGGCTCGGTGGCTCAGCCTGTCATCCCGCGCTTTAGGAGGCTGAGGTGAGTGGATTGCCTGAGCCTGTGGGTTCGAGACCCGCCTGGGCAACTTGGCGAGACCTCATCTCTACAATAAATCAAAAATTAGCCGGGCGTGGTAGCGCGCGCCTGTAGTTTCAGCTACTCGGAAGGCTGAGGCAGAAGGATCGCCAGAGCCCAGCAGGTTGAGGCTGCGGTGGCCGGGAGTGGCCACTGCACTCCAGTCTGGGCGACAGAGTGAGATTCCAACACACACACACACACAAAAAGTAGAAAATGTGAAAATTGCGTTATTTTGGTTAGGATGGAAGAAACACTAGCATTTAAAATTTCCTTTAATGTTGCTAAGACAATACAAAATTTAAAATCTGTGGTTTTATGACAATTAGCAGATGACGGATGCATAACTCATCACCTCATAAGCTAAATTAAAGTTTAACTTTGATGTACTATAACTCAAATGGGAAAATGGCATCAAGAAAAAAGAGATTCCTGACAGGGAAAAAACAAATAAGCCTATTACAAACTGGACAAAAGGACAGGAACAGACATTTCTCAAAGGACGTCCAAGTAGCCAACAAACATTTAAAAAATGCTCAACTTTACTTATCATCAGAGAAATGCAAATCAAAACTATAATGAGATACCAGCTCACACCAGTCAGGATGGCTATCATTAAAAAGTCAAGCAACAACAGGTGCTGGTGAGATTGCAGAAAAAAGAGAACACTCCTATACTGTTGGAGTTAATCCCCTGTGGAAAGCATTATGGTGTTTTCTCAAATAACTAAAAATTGAGCTACCATATAATCCAGCAATCCCACTTCTGGGAACATACCCAGAGGAACATAAACTGTTTAACCAAAAAGACACCTTCTCACCTATGTTCACTGCAGCACTATTCACAAAAACAAAAACATGGAACCAACTCAGATGCCCACCCAAAATGGACTGGATAAAAAAAAAATGTGGTACCTAGACATGATGGACTACTAAACAGTCATTAATAAAAACAAAATCATGTCCTGTGCAGCAACTTGGATGCAGCCGGAGACCATCATTCCGAATGAACTGTACTGCAGAAACAAAAAACGGAATAACGTGTTCACACTCATAAACGGGCCCCAAACACTGGGCATGCAAGCACAAAGGTGGAGACAACTGGCACTAAGGAACACTAGTGGGAAGAGGGGACAAGGGGAGAAAAGGGCACACAACCACCAAGGGCACCATATCCACTACTAGGGGGGAAAGGGCACACTAGAAGCGCAAACCTCACCTGCATGCAATTTACTTATGTAGCAATTTTTCCACTTACCCCTCTAAAATAAAAATTAAGAAAAACGAAAAAAGAGATTCCAATAACAAGATGTCTATGACTACAACCAATAAAAATTTACTTGTAGGGCAAGAAAATAAAGTGGACCATTCCCGTTACAGACCACACAAACCCTTTTTTCATTAGAAGGCAGGCATGATTTAACAGTAATACTTATAGTATTCACTGTGTGTCAGGCAATGTTCTAAGAATCTTATATCCATTACTTCATGTAATCTTTGACTAAATACTACCAAGAAGTTGGTGCTAATTTATTCATATATTACAGATCATAAAACTGAAGCATGGAAAGGTTATATAACTTGTCCAACTAGTAAGCTGTAAAGTCAGAACCCAAACCTCTGTAGCCTGGCTCCAGAGTCCTTACCCGGCCCCCAAAGGAGTCTCACTCTGTTGCCCAGGCTGGAGGACAGTGGCACACTCACAGCCACTGCAGCCTCAACCTGCTGGGCTCAGGTGATCCTTCCGCCTCAGCCTTCCAAGTAGCTGGAATGCACCACCATGCCCAGCAAACTTTTATTGATTTATTGTAGAGATGGGGTCTCGCCAAGTTGCCCAGGCTGGTCTTGAACCCATGGGCTCAGGCAATTCTTTCACCTCGGCCTCCCAAAGTGCTGGGATTACAGGTATAAGCCACCGCACCCAGCCTCAGAGTCCTTATTCTTAACTATTCACTATGTAAACTTTTGCGGTATATATATACATATATATATACATACATACATATATATCCCTGTACCAGATGGATCCCTGTGCTAGAGGCTGATACAAGAAAGTTGTATGGACCCGGTTCTGAAACTGAAGTTCATTCACTAGGGCTGTCAATTTAACGTAAGGATCTGGGGCAATGTAAAACAAAGACATGTAAAATAATACTGATTTTGCTCTTGTGGCTGTTTCAGACTTTACATTTCACCCATGCCCCCTTTTTGGAATGAAGTCTGATGGCCTGCATATACCAGTAGGGACCCCAAAAAACGGAGGGCGAGCCTCTTTAATTATAGGCTTCCCCCACTAAGTAAGTGTTCTAGGTACCCATCAGCACCAGTACACCAGTTAGTGTTGTTCTGAGAGGCTGCATTTGGGTTCAGTGATTTTTTTTTTTTTTTTAAGATAATTTCAATGTATTTGTCTATTTTATGATGGGTAACTTATGAGCGCACTTGCCACATGGCACTGAGTATTTAGCTGTTTCTGATAAAAAAATGGTAAGGCCCTCAAGCCCCACCCTCCCTATTTAGCTGATCTGTCTTGAGCGACTTTGTTTTCCTAGACGAAGAAAAGTCCTCAAAGGAAACGTTTTGCAGATCCGGGAGAGGTGAAACAAAAAACAGCAAATGCACTAAAAGGTATCAAAATCCACAACTTCAAAAACTGTTTTAAGCAGTGGAAAAAGCATCTCAGTAGGTGTATTGCATCAGAGAGTACTTTTTTTTTTTTGAGTTGGAGTCTCACTCTGCCACCCAGACTGGAGTGCAGTGGCCGCTCCCGGTCACCGCAGCCTCGACCTGCTGGGCTCCGGCGATCCTTCCGCCTCAGCCTTCCAAGTAGCCGGAACTACAGGCGCGCGCTACCACACCCAGCTAGTTTTTTATTTATAGTGGAGATGAGGTCTCGCCAAGTTGCCCAGGCGGGTCTCGAAGCCTCGGGGTCAGGCAATCCACTCACCTCGGCCTCCCAAAGTGCTGGGATTACAGGCTGAGGCACCGAGCCTGGCCCAGAGAGTACTTTTAAGTGTTTTTGGAGGGAGTCCCACCTCGTATATGTATATATGGGAAAGTGTGCTGTAATATGTCAAGGATGATATACATTTAAAAACAAAAAAAACAAACAACTTCAAATACAAAAATCTTACCCTTGTACTTCTGGACAGCTTGAGTCTTGTAACAGTGCCAAATTGGGAGAAATATGTTAGAATATGAGTTTCCCCGAGTGTGTTAGGTAGGTGGCCCACATAGATCACTCCAGGAGTAAGTTGTTCTTCCTTCTGCTGACGAAGTTTTTGCTTTTTTTTCTGAAGACATAAAGACCACATAAATTTAATATTTTTAAAACCCAGGCCGGAGTGCAGTGCCACCACCACCGCTCACTGCAATCCTGAACTCCTGGACTCAGGTGATCTTCCTGCCTCAGCCTCACTAGGGATTACAGGCAGGTGTCACTACACTCAGCTACTTTTTTATTTTTGGTACACACAGGATCTCACTAGGTTGCCCAGGCTGGTCTTGAACTACGGGCCTCAAGTGATCCTCTGCCTCCTGGGTAGCTTGGGACTACAGGTGCACACCACCACGCCCGACAAATTTTTAAAATTTTTTTGTAGAGATGGGGAATCTCGCGGCGTTGTCCTCGCTAGTCGCAAACTCCTGGACTCGTGTGGTTTTCTGCCGCAGCCTCCCAATCGCTGGCATTATAGGCTTGAGCAAACGCTCCCGGCTGTTAGATTTTTGAACAAGCCGTTTTAGATCTTCTGCCCAGACAACTCCACGTGAACATACCCTTCCGTTTTGTGCCATATCACGACTTACCCGCATGTAAAGGAAAAACTTTCCAGAAGTTCGTTAATCTTCCCAGCGCAGATTAATCTTTCAGCGACCCACTCATCATACCCTTGCCCTCCATGTTTTCCAGTGTATTTTACGCCAAAGAAAATACAAAATTGGTTCCAGGCGCCCTAGCCAGCACACAAACATTTTCAATTCTGTCTTTTAGGAACTACGAAGTCACCAGCCCGGCATACACACGCCCCGAGAGGTGCGCGGAGGGTTCCCCTTTTCGGGGCCCAAATGCAAGCGTGGCAGCTCCAACCTGGGGTCGGCGGGGGCACGGGAGTGCCATCACTCCCCCTCCCGCTGTTCTTCTCGTGTCCCCCCACGACCCCCACATCGTTCCCGGCCAGCTAAACCTCTCCGTCTCGGAAACCATCGCGGACCCTGTCGGGCGTCCCCGCCGGCGAGGCCGGAGGCGGCCGGGGCGCGGGGCAGGCACCGTGCGCCGGACCCGAGACCCCGGAGACGCCCCCGACCGGCCGCCGCCGCCTCCCCGCGACGTCCCAGACGCGGCAGCCGCTCACCTTGCCTGTGCGCCGGCGAAACTTCTCCACGTCCTTCCGAAACTCAGCGTCTTTCTGAGGGTTCAGCGCCAGCATCGGCCCGGGCGGGCCATCAACGTCCGCCATGCCGGAGGCGGCCGAGACCGGGAAGGCCACGCGACGTGCCCGGAAGTGCCCGGCTCGCAGCTTCAGGAAGCGGAAGTAGAGGCGGGGGAGGCGGAGCCTGAGGAGCGGTGGGTCTCGGGGGCGGGGCATGAGGCGCGGGGGCGGGACAAGGGGCGGCTCAGGCGTTTCCGGGGGCGGGGCGTCGCCGGGCCTAAAGCATTACGTCAGGCATATTTTCGAAG